GGGTTTAGGGGTTTAGGGGCTTGGGTCTGGGGGCTTCGGGCTTAAGGTTTCAATGTGGGTAAAGCGCCAAAGCGAGGTATGCCTCGGTCGAGTTGAACAGCAGCTTCCACCACTTCCGCCGCAACATCACAACAGGACCATGGCTTAGGGTTTAGGGTTTAGGGCTTCATGTCGGCATAGAAGAACCCCTTCAAGCATAGAAGTCTGCATCAATTCCACACATAAGGCGCAGTATCTCTGGCAGCTGGGAAGCAGAAGCAGTCCGGGGGTCTAGAGCTGACCGAGTGGTTTCAAAATTGAGTTCCACAGTTTAGGGTTTCGGGGTTTTAGGGTTTTGAGGTCTAATTAGGGTTTACGGTCTGCAGAGGTTCCTGGATTCCTGCCCCCTGCTCAGCCTCTGCAGCATGGACACAGATGCAGCACCGGCGACTTGGCATTGATAACTGAGGGTCTACGCCAAGTAAGACTAGAAACCCTAAACCCTAAACCCCCTAAACCCTAAACCCTAAACTCCTAAACCCCAAACCCTAAACCCCTAAACCCTAAACCCCTAAACCCTAAAGTTTAGCCCTAAACCCCAAACCGTGACTTTAAGAGCTTCTATATTTTATATACAAGTTATTACAAGAGTCACTCTATGGGTTTGTATAGGGTCCGGGGTCCGGAGGAGTTTTAATATGCAACCCTGAACCCTACCTTTTCCATGGCAGAAAAATCTAGGACATTTTCAGGTGGGTAGTTACCGTTATAGGAGCCTTATAGAAGGTCTATATACCTCATGGAAGCCTTATAGAAGCCCTATATACCCCAAGCTCCCCACCTGTAGGTTCCTTTAAAAAAGGAATCGAATCCAGCTTCAACTTCAGACCTCGGCGACAGCACTCTGACTGGGAGAATGCCATCGTGGTCCCTTCCTCGGCTACCTCAACCCTAAACCCTAAACCCTAAACCCTAAACCCTAAACCCTAAACCCTAAACCCCAACCCTTGATTAAAGGGGAGTTTTAGTCCGATGAGAGCCATGTAAGACCTCATAGCATATAG